AATATTTGTTTCACCAAGTAAATCCACCGTACGCACAGCAACGTAACGGGCATACCATCCACGATCATTGTCATCTTCTGTGCTTACCAAAACCTTCTTGCTTCTCGCAGTTAAGGTAAAAACTCCATGACGTATTAAATTAGGATGGTATAAATGGATAAGGTGAGAAAAGGTGAAATCAACAGTGGCTTTGGTAGAAAGATATCTCAAACAAGCCACTGCTCTCCATACTAAAGGACCAACTTGGGCCAAACAAATATTAAAGAAACGATAAAAATCGAGGATGACTGGGTCAATTGGGGGATTAAAACCCAAAGTAAAAGGGTAAGTATAAACAAAAGAGTACCCAATCCTAAAAGAAGAAATTCTTTTATTTATGGAAGGAATTGACATTCGAAGACTATTTTTCCAGTTACAATCTCCTCTGATGGTAGGGATTGTAAGTTCGGTCACTAATGTAGGATAGGTGTCAGTTTTTTCTAAACCAGCAACTTGCTTTTGAAGAGATTGTCTATCACTTACAAAAGATAAATTATTTGGTACGATTTCATCAACTAAAGGTTCTCTAGAAGAATCAGGAATTTCTTTACCTTTAGAAGAAGGAGTTTTCAGAATAGAACTTCTAGAAGAAGAACCAGAAGAGCCGCCTCGAGTAGATTCTAACCCTGTACGAAGTCTGCCCCCTCTGTCTCTTCTATGTCTAACAGGAGCATTGGGGAATTTGTCTAAAATTGGAACTCTTTTAGGGTTAGGGTTTGGAGACGCCATTGTTGAGCAAAGATGAATCGAAGGAGAGCAAAAGTAAAGAAGAAAAATATTTGCTAAAGATTTATGGAGAAGAGGACAAAGGAAAAAAAGGTTAAATATGTATATGATGGCAACCGTCAAACTTAGAAGAGTAATGATGGAAAGCCTATAATAAAGGCAACTATCACTTCGTGAATAGTGGGATTAACGAAGCTTTGAAAAAGGGTGCAAAATAGCAGAATCAATCAAAAGGTGACACATGGGCAAAACATTAAATGGAAAAGACAATTGAGACGACAATATTGTCATACGCATTGATTATGGCAAAAATTCCTTTTTTACGAAGGTCCACTTCCCAATTATTTAATTGAGAAATAAATGGAAAGTGGGGGGACTATCTGTATTGGGAAAAAAGTTGAATTTATATTGAAGATGACGTGGCGTGACACGTGGACTGGACAAGTGGTCAAAGCGTAACAATTGGGAAAAAGGTACGGGAAATGACAGGTACGGGAAGAAGAAGTGAAATAGGCACGAGAAGCAGTTTAGACACGAGTCTCGTACCAATTCGAAGTCATTTAAAGCCAGTGGGTCGAAAGGCATTGAAGACATGAATCTGAAGACAAAAAAGAGTCCAAATTCAGTATTAAATACCTGATACGTTAGAAAATTGGTATTTAATAGGAATGATTGTGTAACGGCTCATTTAATATCATTTATTGTCCATAATTGTCTCATTAAAGCTTATGTTTATTTCCTTTACCTAGAATCAACTATAAAAGGAAGAAGTTGTATTGGGAAAAGGATATCATTTTACATCATACTGAAATAAAAAATTTTGTTTACTGCTTTGTTATTATTCTCAAAAAGCCTATTATTATTTTGGTCTCTTGATTATCAATAACCCAATTTTTCATCTCAAATTCTAGTTTTATCCAAAATATTATTTCTTTGGTGAAACAGGTGGGACCCCGTGGAATCCAATAACATGTGCCCCAAAACAAAAACAAAAAAGGAGTTGCTAGCAAACTCAACAATGGCAGAACCCCAGGACGAGCTGCCGGCGGTGATAGTCCTGGGCCGGCCATCGGTTCTTAATTTCTACGGCGACCAATTTTCCTCAAAATTCCAACTCCTAAAGCCATGGGAATCTTCACTTCCATTGGACCAATTCATTTCCACACACGCTCAATCCGTACAGGCTATGTTTTGCACTGGCACGACCTGCGTTACTCCATCGTTGCTCCGCCAACTTCCTTCTCTTCGGGTAATCGTTACCACCAGCGCCGGCCTTAACCATATGGATCTCGACGAGTGCCGCAGCCTCGGAATTTCCGTTGCTAACGCTGGTACCGTTTTCTCGGAGGATGTAGCTGATTTTGCTGTTGGATTGTTAATTGATGTTCTAAGAAAAGTATCTGCTGCTAATCGGTTTGTTAAGAATGGACTTTGGCCTCTTCATGGGGACTACCCACTTGCTTCCAAGGTACTGTCACTTAGCTTTCTCCATTGATATCTTAAAATTTTGTGTGCGGATTATAATTTTTTTTTCTTGTTACGATTTGGTAATTGTTGTTGAACTCATAGTTGCGTTTTAGAACTCTCACATATATATGTGGTTAGGAAAATCATCCATTTTTGGTTAAACAAGTATAACCTGGGAATGTGCCTAAAGTTCATAGGTTGCCCTATTCGGGTATGTTTAAGCTCCTAGATTTGGGTACCGTGTTCTATCATGGCCCTCGTGCTTTAAATATAAGAGATGGGTACTGTGTTGGGCTAAGAGTTAAACCGTTTGAACAAGATTTTGAAGTTGAAAAAAAGAGTATTTGAAATTGAAGTTGGAAAAGATCATTTGGGATTTTTTTGGACATGAATATAACTTGGAAAAAAGATAAGTTTTGTAAGTGAGAATCGTTATTTGACTTGAAATACTTCTCAAACAATTTTTTCAACTTCTAATTCTCTTTTTCTAGTTGAAGTTGAAATAATGGACAAAATTGTAAAACAAACATTGGTTTGCATATAATTTTCTATATTTGCATATAATATTTGGTCGAAGCTATGTTCAAATTAGTACAAAGTTAAATGAATGCATTAGCGTCCCTGACAATGACTAGATCGCTTGCTTCCTCGCCAATCGAAGAATGAATTGTTTAGCATCAAAACAAGAACTTGGCATTTGAAGTGGGAAAATTTAGTCAAAGTCCTTCTCATATTATTTCCTAAACGTTCTTTTTTTAAATTTGAGACCTGCACTTCAAATATAAAATTTAAAATCACGTAACAAATTGAATTATATAATAACGTGAAGTTCAAAATTTGGTGCCCATTTTGGATAGTGAGAGTAGCATAAATACTGGTGTAAAACTATACATAGTTCTGAAACTGTGGTTGTCTTTGTATAATGTTTTTTGAAGCTAAGATTGGACTTCAGTTGGTTAAGTTTGGAACAGTACTTGTTGCAACAGGCTAGTACCATGTGTGCCATGGTTTTATCTGTCATCAACTGGTTTCCTTGATTGTTCATTATCCTTAAGATTTCAGGTCTACTAAATTTTCTTGTGTGGATAACTTCTGCATTTCTAATTGCATATTCTTGATGGTAATTGATGATGGCAGGTGGGAGGCAGGAAAGTTGGAATTGTTGGGCTGGGAAGCATAGGCCTAGAAGTTGCAAAAAGGCTTGAAGCATTTGGCTGCATTATATCATACCAGTCGAGGAAGAAAAAGCCTGTTGTCTACCCTTTCTATCCCGACGTTCATGAACTAGCAACCAAATCTGATGTCCTTGTCATTTGTTGTGCTTTGACAGACCAAACTCATCACCTGATCAATAAAGAGGTTCTACTGGCACTCGGTAAAGAAGGAATAATCATTAATATTGCTCGAGGAGCCATAATCAATGAGATGGAGTTGGTGCAGTGTTTAGTGCAGGGAGATATTGCAGGTGCTGGCTTGGATGTTTTCGAGAATGAACCAAATGTTCCTGAAGAGCTCCTTTCATTGGATAATGTTGTACTGTCACAACATGTCGCTTTTTTGACCGAGGATTCTTTTCGAGATTTATATGAACTCATGTCAGGGAATTTGGAAGCTTTCTTCTTGAACAAACCTTTGCTTTCTCCAGTTTTTGATGACTGAGATATTCTTTTCATCTGGGAGATCTATAATTCTATATTGTATCCTGATCTGTCTTCATATTATCAACATCTCATTCTGGAAACTCTCAGCAAAAGTGGAGTGTGAATCTGCATTTTGTCTCGCTTGACACAAAATTTCCTTAACCTATTGGTGTATTACTGGAAGCAAGTTGTGTAGGATCCTTATAACAGAAAAGCATTCTCCACACCAAATGCGAAATGATTGTGCTACAACCAGGAAAAAAGCAATTTGATTCATTTGCTACAATCTGCAGAAAAAGCTGTTTGTTTTATGCCATTGTACATGTGCGCATGCAGATGCTTGTCGGATACAACTTTCAGTGTTTGATTTGTGATGATAGACATAGAAATCTGTCAATATGAGTTTCTATTCTCTGTGATCTGATGTTAAGGGCTTTCTCCTTGTAGTGTGAAAATAGAATTTTCAGTTGATTGTGGATGTTACATGTTCTGGTGTTTTCTTAATGCCACAAATGAATTTTTAAATCTACCACTCTTTATAAGTTCCTTTTAAATTGGTAGATTAGAAACTTTTATCTATTCTGTAGAGTTTCTGTGTAGCCCGAAAATCAAGTTAACTTTAATATATAGTTATGGCAATCTGGCAATCCACCTTTACTCCGTTACTGGTCAATGTACTTAAAATTTATGTTGTATTATGAAGTTTGCTGTTTCTTAAATAGTTATCCGCTGCTAGATATTCATACACCAGTTTATTTGATCCTTTCTCTTATGTTTGCTTATCTCATGGGTGACGTTGTGATCAAATGTATATGTCAATGAGTTGGCATTTGAACTTATTTTTTAACCTCAACTGTCTTTCCAGCATGAACCTTACCTTTGACCTATTATTCTTTTTAAATCTATCTCCTCGAAGTTAAATTACATCAACAAGTAAATATAGTATAGTAGTATACTACCTTACCAACCCCCAATGTGGGATTTTCCGACATAAATTCGGTCGAGCGTCAATGTGGGTATTGGACACCCCCAATGTGGGATTTTCCGACATAAATTCGGTCGAGCGTCAATGTGGGTATTGGACACTGAGTTGAAAAATAAAACATAGTGCTTTATTTTTTTTTTAGTAGTAGCAGCTTTTAATCACAGTGGAGATGTTTTCCACTTAAGAGGAAAAAGCAGTAGCTCTATTTACACTTCAATTTTGTACGAATTCATGAAAAATGGAATTACAGTTAAGAAATCATCATCAACACCTAATATTCCTGTAATCAGAAAAAACCAAACCGACACAACAAAAGCAGAAAAATCAAGAAAAGATCATATATTGCTTTAATTTGTCTTTCAGGTGTTAAAACTCTCCCTCGAGTTACTCTCAAACTAATCAATGGCAAAACCCAACACTGCTTTGCCGGAGATAGTAGTCCTAGGCCAGCCAACCCTTTTCAATATCTACGGTGAACAGTTATCCCACAATTTCCGATTCCTTAAACCATGGGAATCTTCACTTCCATTGGAACAATTCATTTCCACACATGCTCAATCCGTACAAGCCATCATTTCTTCTCCTAAAGGTTTCGTCGGCAAGCTTTCTTCCTCCTTGTTCTGCCTCCTACCTTCGCTCCGCGTTATCGTCACAACAAGCACTGGCGTTAACCATATTGATCTCGTCGAGTGTCGCCGCCGTGGAATCTCAGTTGCTAACGCTGCTTCCGTTTTCTCAGAGGATGTAGCTGATTTTGCTGTTGGATTGTTGATTGATGTTCTTAGAAAGATATCTGCTGCTGATCGGTTTGTTAAGAATGGTCTTTGGCCTCTTCATGGGGATTTCCCTCTCTGTTCCAAGGTGATATCACTTTGCTCTTCTGTTGTTCTTTTTCTGCCTCTTATTGACCTTTTTATACATGATATAAACTAGCTTTTGACATTTGAGTTAGGCCCAATTTTTTTCTTTGACCGAAAAGAATAAGTAGGTAAGTGAAAACGTAGTTGTAGGTCTAACAAATCTATTTCCCTTAAGCAGGAAAGAAGATCTAATTTCCTAAAGGTGAAAAGTTTATTCAATGTTAATGTCACCCATATGGCCATGTTCTATTCGGAGGAATAAGATTAAAATAGTCGGAAAGATGGCTGAGGTTGATAACCCGGGCTTGAAAACCGATAATTAGTTATGAATGAAAAGGTGCAAGGAAAGTCTTCAGATATATATGAGTCAATATCCTTCTCAGAAACATTTCCTAAAACGTTACTAATGATCAAATTAACAAATTGAATTGTTTATTAATAGTTCGAGGTTCAGGATTTGGGTGCCCATTTTGGAGAGTGGGAGTAGCACAAATACATCTTTGCATCGTAAGATGGTTTTCTGATTTTTATTGGGGAAAAGGTCCATAATTGCCCCTCTACTATGGTATATTATTTACTTCTGCCACCCGTTATATTTTTCGTCCAAATCTATCCCTACCGTTAACAAAGTTTGCATAATTTAACCTAACCCTAACGTCCCTCAATACTGAAAACATGTTGCGGCGTGCAGCCGACAATCTTAACAAAACCTCGTTTCCTTTAAATATTGAAAACATAATATTTGAATTTCATAGAAAACCTCACAATTTCTGACATACATTCCTAAAACCTCATGTCACTGAATACATGAGCATCTAAATAATAACACAGTCTCACTAATAGAACACTGTCTGGGAATATAGAATAGTACAAGTATCTAAAAGGAAAGAGAGTCAAGGTCTACGGACGCCAAGCAACTACCTCGATAGTCTCTGACAGGTAAATCCCCGAAAACTAGTAACCACCGTGTCCGGAAGCACATGGATCTGCACACGAGGTGCAGGGTGTAGTATGAGTACAACCAACTCAGCAAGTAACAATACTAAATAAAGCGCTGAAGATAGTGATGAGATATACAGGTACAATTCAATTCCAGTAGTATCAACATAGAAAAAATAGGCATGCTTTCAAGTCCAATAATTTAAGCCAAATTAGTTTATACATGTCAAGTCCAAGTAAAACTGGATATGATATCTCTCAAAAATTTTAAAACAGTGATATATGGCAGTTAAGTGCAACGAGAATAAAATCAAATGCAGCCTCTCAGGGCAACAGTCACTCAGTCCTCCCATTCTCTCCAACCTCACAATCACTCATTCCTCACAGTCACTCATTTCTCCCAATCACTCAGCACTAGGCACTCGCAGTTGGCACTCGCACTCAGTAGGTACCTGCGCTCACTGGGGGTGTGTACAGACTCCTGATGGGTTTTTTCAGCCCAAATGCTATGACAAGCCAATCATGGCAAAAATCAATAAAAACATGTTGCGGCGTGCAGCCCGATCCCACAAATGTTCTCACAATCAGTCCCTCGGTCTCACTCAATCATCAATCTCTCCGGTCTCTCGGGCTCTCGGTGATCATGAAAATCAGCCCAAACAACAATAATATGTGTATCAACAAGGAAATAATAGAGACTAAAATATGATATGCGAATAAAACTGAGACTGAGTACAAATGGCAATTATCAGGTAATCCAACATGTAACACGGCCTCTGTAGGTCCCAACAGTACCAGTACATAGCCTAAACATGATTTCTGACATGATTTACAGTCAAATTTCTATAACACATAGAGAACATACAACTAACAACAAGATATTCAACTTTACAGCTTCCATGGAATGGACCAAGTCACAATTCCTTCGGTGCACGTCCACACGCCCGTCACCTAGCATGTGCGTTACCTCCAAACCAATCACATATCACAAAAATCCGGGGTTTCATACTCTCAGGACCAAATTTAGACTGTTACCTCAAACCATGTAACTCCTTATTCTGCTATGCCTTTGCCTCGCGAATCGGCCTCTGAACGCCTCGAATCTAGTCACAATTAATTCAATACAAATTATGGGAATTAATTCCATATGAAAATTCTACATTTTCCAACAAAAATCTGAAATTCAACCCAAAATCGACAGTGGGGCACACGTCTCGGAACCCGACAAAAATTATAAAATATGAACACCCATCCATCCACGAGTCCAACCATACAAATTTCACCAAATTCCGACATCAACTCGACCCTCAAATCTTTAATTAAAGTCTTTGGAGAATTCTACCATTTTCAACACAATCTTTACCCATTTGAACTCAACAATCTTCCCACAAAACTTATTGGTACATGTATGTATAAAATGATACTCTTACACCCAAGAATCATACTCCCAACCACCCATCTTTACCCAAACTCGAAATTGAAGACTAGGGTTAGAACTTTACCTCTTGGGTGAAGATCTTGTGATATTTCCTAGTTGGATTTCAAAGCTTGAACATGATTTTGATGAACAAAGCACTTGGGCTTCTTCCTCTCTCTGGCCTAGCTCAAGTGGCAAAGGGTGGTGGATTTGTGTCTTAGGTCACACGTTCAAGCCCCTACACCTTGCAAAGCAAAGCCCGGTATTTAAGTGGAGAAGGGTAGAGGGGCGGGCTCATTATCCACCGAGTTTCGAAGGCTGCGGTTGGTCCGAAGGATCGGCCCCAGACGGATTTCTTGGTCATCAAAATAAAAAAGAACACTCTCACTTCTCTCTAAAATATCAGATTTTTGTCTTCAAAATAACCCTTTAGGTCTAATTATAGATATAAGGTCGGGTTATTTAACCCCCGAAAATGAAGCTGCAAATAGGATCTGTGGTCGCATATGCGACCGCACAATGCTTATGCGGCTCGCACAATGGTCGCGAAATGGACCCTCGGAACTAGGCATCGTCTCCTCATATATGCGACCATTCTGTGGTCCGCATATTGATTTTGCGGTCGCAATATGCGACCATTCTGTGGTCCGCATATTGATTTTGCGATCGCAGAATGGACTGCAAAACACTTCTTGACCGCAGAATGGGCCGCAAAATGGCCAAAATTTTGCTTGAGTTACTGCTTCGTTCTGCGATCAATCTGCGATCCGCATAACGTTTCTGCGGTCGCAAAATAGACCGCAAAATCTCCTTTTTCAGTCAAACATTTTCCTCAACACTTAGGTGCATTCTTCAACCCAAAAAGTCAAAAATAACCTGTGTACTCATTAGTCAACCTCGGCACCTCAAAATCTTAAATTCCTTAGCGAAATTTTTCGGGGCCTTACAACAGTATTCGAGATGCTAGCCTCCATTTCATCCACCCCACCCCTATATGGTGTGTAATATCCTCGTCTATCTCCCCATCATAACTGACCCAAGGTACTTGAAACTGCCTTGCTTGGGGATGACCTGTGATTCAAGCCTCACTTTCGTGCCTGCTTCCCTCGGCTCCGCGCAGAACTTGCACTCCAGGTATTCCGTCTTAGTCCTGATCAACTTGAAACCCTTAGACTCAAGGTTCTATTTCCAAACCTCCAACCTCTCGTTAACGCCGCCTCGCGCCTCATCGATCAGAACTATGTCATTAGCGAATAACATACACCATGGCAACTCCCCTTGAATGTGGTGTGTCAGTGCGTTTATAACCAAGGCAAATAAGAAACGGGCTGAGCGCAGATACTTGGTGTAACCCCATAACAACCGGAAAATGCTCCGAGTCGCCTCCCACTGTCCTAACCCGAGTCTTTGCTCCATCATACATGTTCTTAATCGCCCTAATGTAGGCAACCGACGCACCTTTAGCCTCCAAGCATCTCCAAAGAACATCTCTAGGGACCTTGTCATACGCTTTCTCCAGATCAATAAATACCGTGTACAAATCCTTCTTCCTATCCCTATACTGCTCCACCAACCTCCTAATAAGGTGAATAGCCTCCGTAATCGATCGACCCGGCATGAACCCGAACTGGTTGTCAGATATTGACACTGTCCTCCTTACTCTCACTTCTTCCACCCTCTCCCAGACTTTCATGGTATGACTTAGTAACTTGATACCCCTGTAGTTGTTACAACTTTGATATCACTTTTGTTTTTGTATAACGGAACCACTGTGCTCCACCTCCACTCATTTGGCATCCTCTTCGTACTGAAAATAACATTAAACAGCCCAGTCAGCCACTCCAAGCTTGCTCTACCCACACACCTCCCAAATTCTACCGGGATTTCGTTTTGTTCGGTTGCTCTACCCCTACTCATCTTACGCATGGCCCCCACGACCTCCCCGACCTTAATGCGTTTGCAGTACCTAAAGTCTCGGTGACTCTCGGAGTGCCCCAATTCACCTAGCACAATGTCCCGATGCCCCTCTTCATTCAAAAGTCTATGAAAGTAAGTTTGCCATCTCCTCTTAATCTGCTCCTCTCCCATCAATACTACCGTCCTTGTCTTTGATGCACCTCACCTGATCCAGATCCCGAGCCTTCCTCTCTCTCTCACCTTGGCCAGTCGGAATAACTTCTTCTCCCCGCCTTTGTCCTTCTGTTCCTCGTACAGACGATCAAATGCCGCAGTCTTAGCCTCCGTGACCGCCAACTTCGCCTCCTTCCTAGCTACCTTATACCTCTCTCTGTTCACTCTCCTCTCCTCCTCGCATGTGCTCTCGACTAACTTCAGGTATGCTACCTTCTTCGCTTTCACTTTACCTTGGACCACTTCATTCCACCACCAGTCGTCTTTGTGCCTGCCAGGGTTAACACCTCTCTCGCCGCCTCCCTTATACAGCTCGTTGTCGTCGTCCACATAGCGCTCGCGTCCCCACTGCTCTTCCAGGCTCCCATATTCGATAACCTCCCCCAACTCCTGGGATTTATCCTTAGTCAAGGCTCCCCACTGATCCAAGCTGGTAACCCTCTGGACAAAATCCAACTGTTTGCAAAAGAGTGGTGTCTATACTTGACATCGATGAGGCTGTTCATAATTTTTTTAATGCTGGGTTTCTGGTGGGTGGACAGTCATCGAGGTATTTTGGGTTTATTCCATGCCCTTACTGGATTTAAGTTTGGAACAACATTTGTTGCAATAGGCTAGTACCAGTAGACCATGGTTTAAGATTTTAGGTCTAGTACAAAGCTTGTGTGGATAACTTTTGCATTACTAATTGCTAGTTCTTGAATGGTGATTAATGATGGCAGGTGGGAGGCAGGAAAGTAGGAATTGTTGGGCTGGGAAGCATCGGTCTAAAAGTTGCAAAAAGACTTGAAGCATTTGGATGCATTATATCATACCAGTCGAGGAAGAAAAAGCCTGTTTCCTACCCTTTCTATCCTGACGTTCATGAACTATCGACTAAATGCGATGTCCTTGTCATTTGTTGTGCATTGACAGAGGAAACTCGCCACTTGATCAATAAGGAGGTTTTATTGGCACTTGGGAAAGGAGGAGTTATCATTAATATTGCACGAGGATCCGTAATCAATGAGATGGAGTTGGTAAAATGCTTGGTGCAGGGAGAGATTGCTGGTGCTGGCTTGGATGTTTTCGAGAATGAACCTAATGTTCCTGAGGAGCTTCTTTCATTGGATAACGTTGTATTGACACGGCATGTTGCTTGTTGTACAGAGGATTCTTTTCGAGATTTATATGAACTCGTATCAGGGAATCTGGAAGCTTTCTTCTTGAACAAACCTTTGCTTTCTCCAGTTTTGGATAACTAAAAGGTATTATTTCAACTTTGAAATGCATGTTATAAGATCAGCCTTGATATTTATCGACGTCCCATTCGGGATACTCTCTGCAAAACTGGAGTACAAGTCTGAAGAGTTTCCTTAACCTATTTGCATGTTACTGGAAGCAAGTGGTGTAGGATTGTCGGAATGGAGAAAGCATTTTCCATTACAAATGCAAACCGCTGTGCTATAACCAGAGAGGAAGCAATCTGTTTCAGCTACAGCTCTGCAGAAAGGAAGCCATTTGTTTTATGTCATGAAATGCAGTCGTGCAGAATATGTTCAATTCCGTTCTGTCAATGAATGCAAGATTTAATATGTTCAACCCTATATTTTTAATGGTAGGGATTTTCTTTTGCATGAGTTAGTTATATGGTTCTTTGCAGAAGTAGCTATCTGTTTAGTTAAACAAAATTCGTCTGGCTATTCTTCCTTCTGCTGTTGGGGTCAGGAGATGCATGATTATTCTAGTCAATGTTCAGGATTTTCATGACTGCCATCATCAATGTTAAACATGGAGAATATATCTGGTATTTGGTATTAAACAACTGGTATATATTAGATATCAGAATAATGCTGCTTCTTAAATTGTAATCTGCTGCTAGATATTCATACACCAGATTATTTGATCCTGTATCAACTTTTCCTCACTTTTTGGGTTGAAGATAAACTAGTTTATATCTTGCTCTATCCTACCCAACGTGCCTGAGTTCTTTTTCAGAATGATTTCATCCCTTGACATATAACATATTGATTGATTTAATAAAGCCATAAATCAAAGTTAGTTGTAATCATAGATGTTGTGGAACATTTCAGATTTCGTTTAGTTTCAAAGTGGAGATCGATACATTTGATGGTATACATAATATTGCATTTTTTTTAATGATGGGAGGTAACAGGTATCGAGCAGAATAGTCAAGATGAGCACAATCTAATCCGTACACCACTGTTATTAAATAATTGCAGTTTACATTGTTTTGTTGAGGTTTAGGCTAGCTCGGTAGAACTACTTGAACGGTTTTGTTCGTCAAGGAAGATGTTGGCAAAGCCATATGGCCTCTATCATTTGGACCTTAAAAGTAGGCCAACATTTGGTCTTTACTACATAGGACCACATTTTAAAGTTGGGGGTATTATCACTTTCAGCCCGCGTTAGAAACTATTTATATTTGGTAGCCGAAAAAGTATATAAATTTTGTATATAACATATAGAATGTTTATATATACAAAAAATAAATAAAAAATTGTACACTTTTTTGGTTATTATTTTAGGAGCGACTATACAATGTCATTTTCTCTTTTAAAGTTATGCAATGCTTACGTTACCCTTGTAATAAAAAGTTCATATATACTCTAAAGATAGGACAAAAGTGACCAGTTGTAGGGCATTGCCATTTAAATGCTGGCTGGCATATGATAGGATTGTTACTGTTGCTGAAGTATTCGTCACCTGACCACATGGGCTAAATAAATATAGAGAAATTTTCATAAAGGACTATCTATCTATAGATACCATTTGCTATATTACGAATTGTAGATACGTTTTCTGTTGTTATAAGTTGTATTAGATGTATTTAAGCTACTGTATTCATGAATACAGCAGCAAAAATAGGCGTGAATCAGGGAAGTCCAGCTAATCAGTTGTTGTATTCAAGTGTATTCGACTGTATTCCTAGCGTGAAACATGGGATTACAGCTGGACAAATTATTGTATTCGACTGTATTCACGACGTGAAACAGGGGATTACACTGTTTTTAAACTGAAAGTAAATCAATTAAAATAATAGACTCCTAATATAACTCAACAAACTCAATTATAACACACAAAATTTGTATTTCCAGTTATAAAAAAGATTCTCAACCGAAAAATGCCCCAAACACATAGCAATCGTCAGAGAAATTATATAATACATCTGAATACATAAATTATATTAATTAAAAAAACATATGAATACATTCATGGCATATAACGAGACAATGAATACAATGAAATACATAGAATACAGCGGGATACATTGAAATACAATGAAAAAAGATAGTGAATACAATGAAAATACATGGAATTCAGCGAGATACATTGAATTACAATGAAAAAAATACAATGAATACAATGAAATACATGAAAATACAGCGTGATATGTTGAAAATTCATTGAAATATATTAACAGAAAATCAAGTTGCTCAGCCCCAAACTCCGTCGTCTTTGTTCAAGAACAAACCCTAATTTCCGACGAATCCGCCGTCGTGCAAAAACCCTGAATCTCATTGAGCTGAAATTCGGATCTACATAGACAGCAACTTTTGAGAGCAGCTCGGTGACAAGAGCTTTGAGCAGTAGACCATGAAGTTTTGCCAAAAGAAGACCAGTAAATCGGCTATACTGTTTATGCTTTCTTCTCTTTAGTTTATCTTATTTTTGCAACGTGACTTCCTGTGAATTGAAAACGAGGATGAGAGACACGAAACGTCGGATTTCTCACCGTTCCTTTTACCACCGTGATGAGACATCGTGAACTTGAAATCACTGTTTGTCACTAGTGGTAGGTGATGTGGGTGAGAGGAATTTTGAGATTGAGCATCGTGTTTTCAGGGAATGGGGGTAGAGAGCATGTATCAAAGTAGAGAGAGAAAGATAAATGTGTAACTGAATAGCCTATTTAGTGGCTTAGAGGTAGGAGCTAACCAAAACTAGATATTTTGCTATAAACATTAAAAGGTATCTATAGAATATAATTTTTTTTAAATGGTATTTATTTAAAATAAATAAGGTGTTAACCTTTGCTATAGGAGGTAAAAATTCCATAAATATATCATTTCTTATGGTTAAATGGATTGTACTTGTCCAGGACAGAACATACACACACAAGAAAGATATATATATATATATATATATTGTCTCTGTGGTCATGTTCTTTCTTTTTTGATTTGTTTCAAAAAAGATTAACACCTTTTTATATTTAGTGATTATTCAGTTTTAACATTTTTATTTTGATCTTAATAGCATGCTATTTAGTGGACCACAAGACAGTAACGTACTATGGATATGTTTATATATATATATATATATATATATATATTCAAATTTCAAGCTGGTGTGTCGCCTAATGAGTTTTTTTTTTGTTTTTGTTTTTATTTTTTTTAGATATAGTGCTTTAGCATATCGAGACTAGGATGTCCCTCGATCATATTCAATAGTTAAAACGTTTTTGTAAGAAACACTTAATTCCTCCTTAGATTAATCTGTTTATGTGGTGTTTCCATTAGAATCAATTTTCTTATATTTTGTAACATTAATAATTTGTAACAACATTCCTCCCTTTACCAAAATATGGAAAGAGTTATTCCTTTCTTTCCCCTTATGACCTTTTGTCTTTCTTTCTTTTGTTTTCCTAAAAGAAGATGTTTTACTTTCCTTCTAACATCCATATTATCCTTTTTAGAGTAAATTAGAACATCCTTAATTATGTTCCCAAATTCGTTTATTAGGATTTCTAAATAAGGATATATATATCTTCAACATAATGTTTGCTTACCTCATGGATAACATGACTACAACTTTGAAGAATTTCATGCTCATCAATAAAATTAATTTATTTGCTTTATTTTTAAGTGCCTTTCAAACTACACATCTTTGGAAACAAACATATTTAATAGTGTCAACTTAGTTATGGCTAAGTTTGGCTATGGATTATGATTATTTTACTTGGCACAACGGAACAAAATTAGATACGTGGATTGATAATGACCTGAAATTCTACTAATTATTTGTTTATAGGCATTTAAACTATTGTAACTAGAAACGAGGAAGCATCTTTATCTTTGTTTTATACCATGTCAACGCTCAAAAACTTCATGAAAATTGCCATTAGTTTGATCATTTTGATGTTATGTGCTGTTTTACTTGTCTGTTTTGCTGAATTATTGCATATGTCCGACTGTTAATTCATTAATAATGTCAAAACATACGTCATTTTCATGCTTAGGTAAACATGATCATCTAGAAAACTTTCTTTAGCCCTAGCTCCTCTGTTGTTTACTGCTGTGAATTTATCATATTCACTAAATCTTTAGCCCTACTTGTCATAATAAAGTTTTCAGTTTTCTTTGGTTAGCCAACAGAATTACAAACAAAAGTTGGGACAAATGTTTCACTTTTGACATTTCAAGCTTTTCTTGTGAATTGCTCCAACACTTGATCCTACTTTCTACCTAATGTTGCTCCTTGAATAAGAACTTTAATTTGATGCAACTGTGGAGTTATAGTTTTAACCAAACCCCCTTAGACTATCCGTACGTTTTCAAAGACCAAAGGCTAAATAGCTAAAGCAAGATATTATTGAAAATCATATATGTGTATATCAAAAAAAGAAATATAATCCAAGATCATTGAGTTGTTTTGCTATATATTCACCTTCAAGTGCATTTGATTTATTTAGGTTGCCAATAATCACAGTGCATGGCCTAATAGTTGCACAATCAAATCAAAATAGAGATTATTCAATTTCCATAATCAAAAGTTATGTTACATAGTCATATATACTTGATTATATGAAGACCAATTAATTAAAGTTCCATTGATTTAATCATGATAATTAAGTGGTACCACATATTTACATTATTCTTTTAGCAAAGTAAAATTTAAAGCTAATTTCTTGGATACAATAAGAAGTTGCATGTGATTTGGAGTGTGTAGTTATCAGATACAGTCTCCAAAAGCAAGCAATTTAAATCATAATTGAAAAATCCATATTACAATTTTACATCTGATTAGGGTTAACATTATTTACAAGAGTAGACATTAATATTTGTGGTCATGCACTTGTCCATTAAATAAACATTTCAGAAGGTAAATGATGTTTCAAATTTCTTTTTATAATTAGCTTTTTTAAAAATCTTTTGGTATATGTGTATGTATGTATTTTCAAAATGTGACAACTACTTCGGCTTCCAACTGGGACTCATATTTGTGTATTAGTAATAATTTTGATAATGTCGATGTTATGAATTCACCTTACAAAAGCATAACGCTATAAATTGCTCTAGTATTTTTTACTTTATTTTTAAAAAATCAAGTTTCACAAAATAGCAGATATTTTTCTATAGTGCGACAGTAACAAGTATGAGGAACTATCAGACAAGACATGTGCAACCCTTGAATGAAAGAGCACCCTAGGCATTTTGCTAACTAGTACTCACATTAACATACTACGCTTTTGTATTAATTTGTTACTCATTCTATTTCCAGAGTATTGGCAAACATTACTAGAAATTCGGCAAAGACCGACCACTTAGTCGGCCAAAAAACCGATCAAATTTGGTCGGTTTTTCAAAATATTTTATTTTTTAATTTTTTTTACAAAACCGATCAACTTTGGTCGTTTTCTTTGGCGCAAAAATGCGTGAAACTATTTTTGAGTCACGCAAAATTTATTTTTCAAGAAACCGACCAACTTTGGTTAGTTTTTCATTTAAAATAAAATAAAATTAATATTAAAAAATCGACCGAAATCGATCGGTTAATCCGGCCAATCATTTTAAAAAACTGATCGAATTCGGTCGGTAATTTTATTTTTTAATAAAATTGGCCAACTTTGGTATGTTATTTTCGTGCGAAAATACAATTAAAGAGTATAAATGAAA